AAGAAAAAAGAGGATGGTGTCAAATAGTCTTCTTTCTTAGGCTTTTCTAGTCTCTTATGATAAATATTAGAAATGTGCCTTGAAGGACTAGCTTTTTTCCTGGTCAACATGTCATTATCCTTCTGTACAACAACTCACCTTTTAATCTAGCATCACCCCCAAAGGCACCGCAGCCCCAGTTTCCTGTGGCCACCGCAGAGAGGTTCTCTGGAGGAACGCCAGGGCGGAGGAATCCACAGTAAGCCTGCAGAATGAAAGGCATATCACAGCACATGAGTGACCAGACAGTAACAGTGCTTCTGACAGATGTCCCAGGATCAGCTTCCATTATCAAGCTTCTGTTCGCTCTCTCTCATTTATCTTGTTTTCTTAGGGCCAAAGCAGAATGGAAAACAAAGAAAAAAAAATGCCTGGGATTATATGAGGAAGAGAATAAGAAATGATGGATTCTATTTATCTGTTTTGATATTAGGCAATCAAATGCCTTAAATCAATACAGGTCTCAAATCTCTTTTTCCAATTCAAACAAATAGAAAGGACTGTCAGATATTTTAAGGATTGTTTAGATCCCCATGATAAAGCACTGCAACTACTAGGAAAGGCACTTGTTCAAACGGCTTGCTTTGAAGGCTTCTGGTTACTACTTTTTCATCAGGGCAGAGCTACTCTTATGCCTCCCCAGCACTCTCTGTTTAAGTCACTGGGAGCAGATTAATGGCAGTGCTTAGCTTGTACATATGCTACCTGCCACCGGAATGCTCAACAAAGAATAAGCAACCGTCTCTAAAAAGGATTCCTATAACTGGGTACGAAATAATCTTTAAGACCCCCATCCAGTCCTAGAATTCTCTAGTTTCACAGAGCTGTCTTAAGCTAGAATATTTAAAAATCTGCCAGTAACCTGAGGAAAGTACACTATGCCCTGAAGATACTGGCCAAGTATTAAACCAACAGTTCTTTCTGTACATGAGAAGACTATGGTTTAAGACCCTACAGTTTCTGATTTCAATTTTTTTGCTGTCAACTTAGTGGGTCTTTCTGT